TGACGCATCAGATACTTTTGAACATATACACAAAACAAAAATTGTGCACAATCATAATTATAGTGGATTTATTAGAACCAATTTATCGTATCCATCTAAACAAGTCTTCCAAAATAAAAGAAAAAAATCTCTCATCAAAATTTGTAGAAAATGTATTTGTATGAAATAAGTGATTCATTCCAATCAAAATGCTGTTAATCTAAACTTGTATAGAAATAAGAACTCTTATTATAACTTTTTTCTAAAGTTATAAAAACAAATTAAAAAAAAAACAAATTAATAATCAAAAGCATGAGGTTATATTTTTCTTGCAAATTCCTTGAATTTCTTTCGTCGAAAAACAGTAATTTGTATAAAAAAAAAGGAAAGAACAATATTAGCCCCTGAATGACGAAACCATACAATGTAGCAACAGTCGACAGACCTTGACCACGGGTCACTTGAAAATACTATTAGTGCGCACAATTCATGCATGCAAAATTCACTGTTAAAAATATATATCATTATATAAAAAAATATTGCTCCTCGGTTAACAATGGAACAGATGATAGTGAACATTTTCAATACCTTTAATTATATGCAAGATATTTATATTAAAGTTATCTCTCTTAGCATGCACAGAATATTAAAAAAATCGTGAAGTAAGCAGGACATTTTTTTCAAAACAGAATGTAGTTCAGCATTTGCACAAGATATATATTTGATATATCCCTGATGTTTTCTGCTCATAAAAGGGGATTATAAATAAAGGTGACTTGAAATTTAGCTTTAAAAATTATAAATCAGAGAAGGATATGGAGATAACGAACAGTATTCAATCTCAACGTCCATTAAACAATATACAAAATAAGAGCAGAGCAAACACGGACCTCCGAAACATCAGAGGTGGGATCAGGTGCCATGGAGGAGTGAGCATCCCCTGCCGACCGGTCACATCCGCCGTGTGCTCGTTGTCATGATCAGGAAATAACGGAAAAATAAATCACTTGGGACATCCATGAAAAACGTTTTTCATTCTAATGTTTTGTCCATTATTTATACACTGAATTGAGGACGAACTTCGCCGTTCTTTTCCGATCATGGCAAGGAACTAACGGTCGGCAGGGGATACTCACTCCTCCATGGCACCAGATCTCACCTCTGAAATTTAAATTGCCCGTGTTTTCTTTGCTCCTATTTTCTGTTCTTTTATGACATTTGATCTTGAACACAGTTCGTAATCTCATGTTTTATCAAAATATACAGAGATGAGAAAGTAAAACATTTGTGCATTAGAAGAACAGTAGAACAGCACTGTTTGTTCTTTCGTCCTCAGGAATCACGCAAGTATGAAAAGCTTAGAGTTAACAGAAGTATAATAAGTATACAAAAATGTGTGACCTCATTACTCGAAATCTCTCTTTACAACTAAGGATGGAAAAATATAAACATATATAACATAACAATTAGTTATAACATAATAATGTATGGTTTAGTTTCTCAGTCATTTAAAGATTTTATAAGAAATATATATTCATGGATCAATCAAATGGATTTCACGGCTCTTTCTTAAATAATTGTTTGAACAAATTAGAGAAACCACACAGTAAAATTTTCCTTAACATGAAAATATGAACAAAGCTAAAAACAAAAACCAATAGGCCCATTGGTCACATCACTCACCTGAGCGACTATCTAGTTAAAAGCAAAAATCAGTTCAGTATTGAAAAAGTTTTAAAATATTATAAAAGTGGGTTCCAGGAGGGGTATTTGAACAAATTTTAATCTACACTTCCTATGACTGTTAATATAACACATAATGGCTTTGCTTATTAAAAGATGAAAATGTATTGATGAAGCCTTTATATTTCTTTGTTATGATCCGCCTTTCATGGCTCCTCTATTCTCCTGAATAGTCATGATTTGATCATATATAAATCTCGATTCTTGTTAACTGATGATCAGCCATGGCATTGTGAAGAATTTTAACAATTTTCCCCATGTAAAAACTTGATCACCCGTTGTGGCCCCACTCGGTGGTCATGAATTGAACAAACTTCTATCTACACTTTCATATTACTATGACCAATCACAAAGTTGCTGTTTTCAAGAGGAAGAGCTTTAAAGTGGAATTTTCTATGTAATCCTACTCATAATGACCCCACTCTTGCCCCGGGGGTCATGATTTGAACAAACTTGAATCTTCACTACTAGAAGATGCTTCCATATAAATATAACCAATCATACATTTGCTTTCTCAAAAAGAAGATTTCTTAAGATTTTCTAAATGAATCCCTATGTTAAACTTTGATCACCTATTGTGGCGCACCCTACCACCGGAGATCAAGATATTAATAAAATTGAATTTGCACTTTCAGAGATGCTTTCAAATAACTATGACATATCACGGCTTTGATGATATTGAGAAAATATTTTTAAAGATTTTCCTCAGTATTCCTATGTAAAATTTTGATGCAACCCTACTCCTGGTGATCATGATTTGGACAAACTTGAAAATTCACTAACAGAGGATTTTTCTACTTGAGTCTAATTTTTCCTGACCGATAGGTTCTTGAGAGGAAGATTTCAAAAGATTTTTCCAATGTATTCCTTTGTTAAAAATTGATACCCCACTGTGACCCCACCCTACTCCAGGGGTCATAAATTGAACAAACTTTTATCTACACTACAAAGAGGATGCTTCCACATGAGTTTCATATTTCCTGCCTCACTGGTTCTTGAGAAGAATATTTTTTGGAGATACCATTAATTTATAACTGTCTCCATTTTGAAGACGACATGGCCTTTCGAACAAATTTGAATTCATTTCCTCAGGGATACACTGTGCCAAGTTTGGTTGAAATTGGTTCTATGGTTCTGGAGGAGAAAAATGAAAATGTGAAAAGTTAACAACAACAACGACGACACCAAAAACAGACAACGGAAAATTTAAATCAGAAATCTGAACTGAGCCTTTAGCTCAGGTGCACTTAAAACTAAATAAAATGATCACCTGGATAAAAATCTTTACAAAAAGTACATGTATTAATGGCGTTACTTGATATCATACATAATAGATTAACACACTACGTATACAGCATTAACAATGGTTTTCAAATGAAAAAGGAAGTTACACAGAAAACAAAATAAAGTACATCAGCAATTAGATTAATGAAAAATTCGAGCAAAACCTAAAAACTAAAATTCTAATAAATATTCTGAGATTGCTTTTTTTAAAAGCCTTGAAATTAGAATTGTAACATTTTTTTTTATAGATTTTTTTTAAATTTCTCATTAGCATAAACTAAAATTGATTTCAAGGAAATTGGCTACATTTAATTAAAAAATAGAATGCTTTTTTTTCTGGAATGTCCATGTTGAGATTCAAAAACATAAGTTTTATAATGAACAATGCAGGTATGTTAAGGCAACAAATAGATCATTATTCGGGAAATTCTCACTTCTTTGAAAAATGTAGTATTTATGAATCAGAAAAGCAAGAGATAAAACATTTCAATTATTGTCCAATGTAATGACGTCAAAGCTAAGCAAAGTTTAAAGCTAAAAGTAGCACTCCTCTCTCTCTCTCTCTCTCTCTCTCTCTCTCTCTCTCTCTCTCTCTCTCTCTCTCTCTCTCTCTCTCTCTCTCTCTCTCTCTCTCTCTCTATATATATAATATATATATATATATATATATATATATATATATATATATATATATATATAGAATTACCTTAATGATAAGTGAAAATTCAACACAATTTCGGGTATAATTCAGTTCTGTTTGCTAAAATATTTATGTAAGAACATTTATTTGCGGCTGGAAATCTATTTCCCATAAAAGCATACATATGATGAATGCTAAACAGACATGGTGATAAATCATCAGAAGATAATGTGACCTGCAAATTTTTGAATTTTTGAAGCACATAAATTCAGGATACTAAAGGTAAGACAGTCAGAAAACTGAAATATCATCTGGCATGTAACACGAATTAAAATTTAAAATCCATATCAAATTAACTGTCTAAACGTTATTACATAATTTTTTTTGTCCAATGAATATAGTTAATTTTAATTTACATCAAATTACATTACGAACTGGTGAAAAAATATGCTTATTTCATTAATTATATTAAAGGCACTTGGACACAGATTTGAAGTTATTATTTTCTCTTTAATATTACAACTTATATATTTAAATAGCATTTCACACAAAAATTTATTAAAAATCTTATTTCGTTTAAAAGATATTGAAATTTCAAATTTTTAGGCGGGTTTGATTTACACATCCTTGCACTTTCACAAGTTTAATTTTATTCTTAATCCTTAAGAAAAGTGGCAATCTCGTTTTGTATAAATGAAAAATATTAATACTATAATCCAGAAAATTTAGAGTAGACACGTTCGAAAGCAAAACAAACACACAATATATTGTCAGTCCGCTCAGTTGTGGAAAGCAGAATGTGACGATTGAACGCACCATGTGACTTCTAAATATAAACAATAACAGAACTCGAGCCCTGTTTACAAATATTGTGTACATAACACGAGTGTGCTCGATTTGCTAAACTCTGTACGCATCTCTTAGTTCGGAATGACGATACTTGTGAAGGTGTTTTGCTTTCTAACATTCCTACTCTGAATAAAATTATTTTTGTTGATAAAAGTTTTAATATTTCTCATTAAAACACATCAAAATTGCCACTTTTCTTAAGATTAAGAATAAAGTTAAAATTTGTGAAAGTGCAAGGATGTGTCAAACAAACCCGCCAAAAAATTTTAAGTTTTAATAACTTTTAAATGAAATAAGATTTTTAATTAATTTTTGTGTGAAATGCTATCATAATATATAATTTGTGTTATTACACAGAAAAAATGAGAAAATATTAACTTCAAATCTGTGTCCAAGTACCTTTAATACTCTGTCCGATGATTTTTAAAAGTAATAGTAATTGGAATATTCTAAAATGACATTTTTCTACATGTTTTGTTATATACATGGGAACCCTTGATCTTTCTCACAAAGAATATCGTCTCGCATATTTTTTCACCTCCATTAACACCATCTTGTACATCGGCTCTCTGAACCTTATCATCAGACGTCGTGTCCTCTCTAAAACAGAAACCCCCTCTCTGTCTAACATAGATATTACTTCTTTTTTCTCCTGATCGTTAAACTCATCAGTAGAGTGATTATCGGACGCATTCTCACTATCTAAACCTGACCCTTCACCTTCTTCATCGGTAGAGTGATTATCAGACGCAATCTCACTATCTAAACCTGACCCTTCACCTTCTTCATCAGTAGAGTGATTATCAGACGCAATCTCATTATCTAAAACTGAATCTTCACCTTCATCATCAGTGGGATAAATATCATACACATTCTCACTATCAAATACCAATCGTTCACCTTCACCTTCATCATCATCATCATCAATTAGGTCATCGAACACGCTGTCCCTGTCTAAAACAAAATGATTCCTACTGAATTTTACCCTGTCATTGACATTTGCTCCCGCCTGCAGAAGGATCCTTATCTTCTTTACCCTGTCTTCAACACCAAAACCATTAATTAGTATAAACAGCAAAGGCATCATATCAAAATTAGGCTTGTCAGAATACACTTGTATCCACTGATTAATATCCAGACCTACTTTTAACAGATGTTTTAGTCCGTCACATTTACAACCCTTTATTGTATTATACAATTCTCCGAATTCCTGCATACACCAAACTCGCCTCTGTGTCACCACGACATCATCCTTAAAATCAGTCCCCACATCACTGTGTCTTATGTCTACCAAACAGTCAAACAAATGTAACTTCAATCTATTCAGATTATTTCCTTTTTCAGTTTGAAATAATTGTTTCACAACATCAGTTTTGTTTTTAAATAATGTAATATACAAAGCTGAATAACCGTCTTTATTACGGATGGATGAGTCTGCGCCAAACATACTCAAAATATGTACAGCTTGTGTGACATTTTTAGTATGATCTAAAACAACTCTATATAGAGGTGTTCGACCCAAAATGTCTTGTGAATTGACACAGGCCCCTGCTTCTAATAGTTCCTTCACTGCATTTAAATGTTCACTCTGCCATACTTCTTGTGGTGAATCATGCAGATATCTCATATTGATTTCTGAATCCTCCTCTATCGTTATCCTTATTCCACCTAAATGCCAATTTTCGCACGCTGCACCCAGTGGTGCATCATATTTACTTTGAAGATTGACATCAGCTCCTGCCTCTATCAGCTGTTTTACCAGACTGAAATGCCTGTTTCTGCATGCTGCTAACAGTGGTGTACTCTTTGAAGTGTGAAGGTTGACATTAGTCCCGGCCTCTATTAGCTCCTTTATTACATTTGAATGCCCATTTGCGCATGCTGCTACCAGTGGGGTACTGTATTTCCCTTGAAGGTTGACATCAGCTCCTGCTTCTATCAGTTCCTTCACTACATTTAAATGCCCCTCTTCACATGCATTTATCAGTGGTGTATCATCTTCACCTTGAAGATTAACATCAGCCCCTGCCTCAATTAACACTTTCACTATACTTAAATGCCCATTCTTACATGCGGCCATCAGTATTGTGCCATATTCAGTTTGAAGATTGACATCAATCCCAGCCTTTATCAGTTCTTTTACGACACTTGAATGTCCATTCTTGCATGCCGCTATCAGTGGTGTATTATTATTAATTTGGAGGTTGACATCAGCCCCTGCCTCTATTAACACCTTCACTACACTTAATTGTTCATTCTCGCAAGCTGCTATCATTGGTGTATTATGATCATTACTTTGAAGGTTGACATCAGCCCCTGCCTCTATTAACACCTTCACTACACCTAAATGTCCATTCTCGCATGCTGCTATAAGTGGTTTAGCTATGTGATAACCATAAGCATTTTGAGGGTTGACAGCTGCTCCTGCCTTTATAAGTTCTTTTACGACACTTAAATGCCCATTCTCGCATGCTGCACTAATTGGTATACTATAGTTATTTTGAAGGTTGACATCAGCCCCTGCCTCTATTAACTTCCTCACTACTCTTAAATGCCCATTCCTGCATGCTGCCATCAGTGGTGAATCTATCAAATAATAACCTTTAGGGTTGATAGCAGCTCCCGCATTTATCAGCTCATTCACTACACGTAAATGACCGTACTCACATGCTGCTAGCATTGGTCTATCGTATCCTGGAAGGTTTACATTAGCACCAGCCTCTATCAGAAGCTTCACGATACTAACATGACCTGTCATACAAGCTGCTTTCAGTGGTGTTGCTTCCGCCATGTGATCATAACCTAAACATTTTAGGTTTTTGTTACTTTTATTTCTTTGAAAATATTTTAGTAAAAATCTAACAGTATCAAGGTCACCACTGTAGCAACTCAGCACAAGCAATCTGCGTTGCCCAGAAAGCTGAATATTTGCCATCCCTGCTGTGTAATTTCTTAAAGCAGGGTTAATACAATCTTTAATATTTATATCAGACTTTTTTTCTTCGTGTAGTTCACTTCGTTCTATAATATATTGAAGAAGTTGATGGTGCCCGTAATAGATCAACCAACAGATAGCACGCACAAATCCCTTAAATCCAAGCAGTCTCCATTTCCGCCACTTATCTGTATTCATAAAATCTAAACCACAGGCATAATTCTGTTCTTCATCCCTTTCCTCAGATAGAGCTTTTTGCTTTGAAAGAAATAAGGACGCCATTTCTATAAAAGGTTTTTCGTTTAAAACTTCAGTGAAAGCCTTCAACATATTTGGCTGTTTTAAAAACTGACTCTTAAAAACATCATGCAGGTCTCTTTTCTCAATATCTTTATACAAACGCCTTGCTAGCGCGGGATATTTATCCCTACCTAACATGATACTGAGGTCAAAGGACTCTCCTTGCTCATTCTCTTCCTCTTCTTTACCTTTTCTCATATCTTCATGTTTCTCACTGATTTGACATTCCTGAAGTTTCACAGAGTTGAAAATAAAATTGCTACTCATAAATTGTAAAATGAGTTCTGGAAACTGACGACCAAAATGAAAAGCAACAATTTCAAACATAGAATCGTGAAGAAAGCTGTATTCACTGCCACATAGTTTTGTGTACGTACCCATCATTTCTTTTAGTGCATCAACGATTTTAAAAATATCAGTGTACCTGCTGACTCTGCATTCTTTTAGAACTTTATCTTTTATTTCTTTGAGGTTTTGAGTGACTGCTTCATTTTCCGTGTTTTCTAGTATTTCCTCTGATATTCTATTTTCATTCATCATGCATAAAACCAAAGAAACATAGTGGATTTTGTTCTGTTTTTCCATTTCATTTAGTTCCTCTAAAATACAGGGAATCGGATTTTCAAAAAATGCAGGTCCATACACCTGAATTTTTTTGTCTGTTGAATAGATTTTGCAAAGATAAGGGAACATTTTTGATGCCGATTTCAGATTGATAGGAGACAACAAATCTACTTCTATGTTGTACATCTTCAGTATATTAATTTTGTCAGTGTGAGATAAAGCATTAGCTTCACTGTGTAACCACACAATATTGTTTTCTGTAAAGAAGGAATGTGTTTTAATTGCTTCTCTATAAACTGCTTCTCTACAAGTCATTAGAGTCTTTGATTTTGGCATAGGAGGATCCATAATTCTATTTTGATAAAGAAATAAAAGATCAGATTTTGTCTCTTGGAGTCCAAACACACCTACCACATCATCAATAACAAAAACCTGTGGATTTTTAAGATCACAGTATTGCTTTATCTCTCTGATTTCATCGATCGGTACAATCTCATACCCTTCCTGTTGTAACATCAGGGCGATGTGTCGAGCTGTTGCTGTTTTTCCAGATCCTGGGACACCGACAAACGTCACGTGTGTTTGATTCTTCACCTTATCTAGCATAGTGGAGAAGTTGTGACATTCATGGAAAATTTTGTCATCATCTTCCCATTGAAGGACATCATTTTCGTGAATAGCTGTTGATGAAAAATAATTTGTTAGGGTAAATTGAACAATTTAATGCAAGATATTTAACACTTTAAGGTGTACTACCAAAATCTTGCTCAATAAATATATACAGAATATATTTAAACATCAGTATCCCAGTACTTTGAACTAAATGTCTTCTTTTGACAGAACTACTTCCACTTTTACATGTACTTTATTCCGATTTTATCTCTGCACCCAACCTAAACATTTAATTTGTTTTCTTTATAGTTTATTCTTACTACACAAACAAAAACTCATATGAAAAGTTATTGTTTATTTTTAAGGTATAATTTTGATAAAACATAAGCGCACAGTGAAATTAAGATCATTTTTATGTCCATACAACCTAAAAACCATGGGGAATTGCTTTTATCCCAAGTCAAAAAATTCATAACCAATATTATACACAGTAGGACTTCACTTTATCTTACTTCATCATGGTAACGCCCCAGCCATTATGACCTCAGGACAGCATTAAACTAGAATTTCAAATTTATATCCAATGCGTCATATCCAATGGATAAAGGGTTCAACATGGAATACAATTGTGTATATATTTTCAGGTTTAATGTGTACTGTAGATTCCTTATTTTTCGAGAGTAATTATTATCGCCAATGGGCTCTACAACGGCAAATCCTGAGAAAAAATTATTCGCGAGTGGATGGGTGATCAAGATATTATATATAGATTCCAGCACAATATAAATAAAGGCAAGTTATTTTATTTAGCTTGTGGTGCTTCTCGCGAAATCACGCGAGAATTAATTCCACGCGTATATTTAGGAATCTAGAGTATAGAGATATGTTTGTACGGAATTTAAATGTGTGAATACTAGTGTGTTGACAGATGCACTTTGTGATAAGTGCTTGTGAGTTGGTGTCAGTCTTTCTGATCATCTTCAAATCAACAGGGCTTTTTTAATTGGTAGTAATGAAACCAAGTGTAAGAAAAACGTGCAAGAAGTTATAACTCAAATTAATGCAGAACCGCATAATAAGATAATACCTAAGGAGGAGTAAATGTTGAAATCATAGAAAATTCAAACAAGAACCCCTAACAAGTACTATTGATTCATTGACTATTCAAAATTCTGAACTGCTAAATATGCACAAATGTGATGGCAGAATATGGAATTTTATAAATTACAAATTTCCAGGACTGGAAAAATTGTGTCAACAGGGGCAGAGGAATGTATTTCCGATCTCAGAATCAACAGCAACATACTAAACAATCAAGGCAACAGAGGCAGTTTACTGTCAGGGCTAAGCAGTCTATTAACATTTTATTGGTTTGGCTCAGGTAGTACTTTATTAAATTAGAATCATCTCCTGTTGCAAGGCAAACTGAAATTTCCGGCAAAAACACAGAATTAAAAAAAACAAGATTAAGTGTAGATTTACTTGATATTTGTTATTTACGTTCAAATTCAAATTTTCACGTATATTGAACTGAAATACCCCCTTGTTTCTATTATTTCCGCGTCAAAAATAAATCAATTATTGTTTAATATCTATGATTAAGTCGTGTAATTTACAAAAAAGTCCTATCTTTATATAAAGTAACAAAACAAATAAAAAGATTTTTAATTCTAGAAAGTCTGAACATATTAAAATACGTCATATATCACTTTAAAGAGAAACACCGACATCTTACGAACGAACGTAACTCTCCCTAACTTCCCGTATCTCGATAGTTTTCTCGGGACCAGTGATTGTATCCACATAAAGTTTAAAGCTGACATGAACTCTTAAAAAGGCATCATTTTTCATCTTTGTACGACTTACTACATTCCTGTACGCCTTTGTCCGCCATATTTCTTCGATTCCGCCATATTTAATCAAAAAATTTTGGTCACCTGTGCCTGCTATATATAGCCTTGTACAATTGCTTCACTTGAGTGATTTTCTAGCCTGACTGTCGACATGTACACATCTCCGATAACAAAGTTTTTAGAAGTCCATAAACTGACCAAATGCATGTTTGAAAAGTAAAAATTCATCAAAAAATAGAACTATACCGAGAATTAAATTATTTTTGAATGCATTTGCTGCAATATAGAAAATAAACTAACACTGAATACATACATGTACATCAAACACCTATGCAGGTCGAGAAAACGCGTCAAACGCAGTGATAAAAACATTTACCTGGCTACTGCTATCGCTACAGGGATGTGCACATGTCGGAAGAATTATCCTATTTTACTTTTATTGAAAAACCCATCTCAAAAGTCATGTTATCCATTCCTAACTCAACAGTAAAAGATGCTTGGACACACGTGGCCCATGCCGATCATTTTATTTGGTCAGGGAAAATATCAAAGGTTGAAAGCTCAGTGGGGTTGATTGAAAAAAAAAATGCAAGTAATTTTTTTCAAAAATAAACATTACTCTTGTCTGTACATTTTGTAAATAGAATTAAGTTAAACTACGATTAAGTACTTGGTTTAACTTCATCAAATTCATTTAAAAAAGCAGGCATTATTATGAATCATTCACCTTTTGAAGATATTTTCCCGTGATAAAAGGGGAGGGGGAGGGATAAAACATGCATAACACTCTCATAAAAATAATGTAAGAAAAACATCTGAAACAGATTGGATTTCTTAATGATCAATTATTATCAAATAAATACTGTGAATTGGCTTTATTAGACCTAATATATTTTGATTTAAAGTTATTTATAATTTTATGCACTATGAAAGAAAAAGTGAGCAAGTTCACATCCCCACGCTCCCCCAAAAGTCGAAGTGCTAAAAATTCCAAGAAAAAAATAAAGGAATTGTAATTTCCTTATAATATCACATCTATACACATTGTGTCCTAAATATCTGCAAAGTTTGAGTAAATTGTGTGCAGCGGCTTATGAGGAGTTGCGCTGACAAATTGCTCACCTCTATATTCAAGATATGGCCAAAATCTAAATGTAAAAGTGCGGAAATTCCCGGAAAAATAAAGAATTCGGAATTTCCTGGTGATTTTCAAATCTACACACACATTGTCTCCTATAAATATCTGCAAAATTCGACAAAACTCTGTACAGTGGTTTATGAGAAATTGCGCTGACCAAAAAGAAAAAAAGAAAAAAAAAAGGACTGACTGACGGGTCAAAAACATTATACCTCACGCGTGGGGTACGAGTATAATAAACGAGTTTGATTCTTTGGTACAATGATAATGAAAATAGAATTTGATGTGAATTAAATTTCTAGACATAAATAATTAATGATTATTAGAAAAAGCATATAGGAAGAGAGAGAGTAAACTCCTCGTGAGAATTCCACATTCTACCTAAAACTATAGCTTTTAAAAATTCTCTTGTCTGTTGTCCAAGCTCGACACATACGTTTGGGAAGGTATTCGAGAAAGTTCCCAATTTTTCCATTCCCGTGATTTATATTTCACATTTATTATATCCCCCGCCTGAAAAGTGGGGGGTATTCGTTATGTCCGTTCGTCTGTCTGTTACGCTTTGGGGTACCCATCTGGCCATCTCTTAACCGCAAATCCTCTTACACCACTTAGAGTAATTTAATGAAACTCTCAAAGAATCTTAAGTTTAATATTACATATTACCATTATGCATCTCCTATTTTACTTTTTGATCTGACACGTATGGGTTTAGCGAAATATGGACTAACCATATGGGAGGTAGGGGGTATCATTTAGTGAGTTCATTGCTCATAATACATGTACGTCTAGTTTCTCTTTCAATTTGGGCGTTTGGGTTAACTTCCTGTCCAAAGAAAATTATAATTCAATTTATGAAGTTTCGACATCCCGCCTGAAAAAAATCCTTGATCTGTCCTAAGGCATAATAAATGATGCAGCACAAAGTGCGTAGGATTTTATACCCATCTTTGCCCCAACGGGTAGTTACAGACAGAAAGACAGAGAGAGAGGGAGAGAGAGTTCAATATACAAAAGAATAAGTAATAATTACCCTAGCTTTTAAAATTATCTCCCAAATTCACCTAAAGAAATTATTTATATATAGAAAAAAAATACCTAGACTATCAGACAGGGGTACTGAAATCTCGAAATACTTCCTGTAACAACATAATATTATAAAACAGTTACATTCCTCAAAATGCACATACTTTGTGGTCGGAGTGACACATTTTTAAAAAATCTCAAAACTGAATTCGACAGAAATGTCTGTCTTCCAAGAATATTTAAATAAATTACTTTGTTTAGATTTGAGATTAGTACTTAAATAATCAGGTATAATTGACAAATGAATTTTGCGACGCAAACCAACTGCAGACTATATACATGACTTTGTATAGAATGTATATTAGAACTACATGGAGATAAACAATTCACAATTATAGATTATGAACATCAGTTATAATACCCCCCCTCTTTCAGCCGCGCAAATTCCAAATAACTTCTCGTTCCACTTTTGATATTTTCCCTGACCAAAATCTGATCAGCACGGACTAAGTGCATCGTCGTGCTAGTGTGTACGGAGTAATGACAGTGTGTTTACTATTGAGCTTTTATGGAGTTTATTTCTTTTTTGTGATGCATATTTCAATAAATGGAATTCAGGGTGTATTTCACTTGACTTGTGCACATCTTCGAACCGATGCAGTAACCTTATTACCAGGTATGGGTACGTTTACGGTTTACAGCGTTCGATGCGTTTTCTCGATATGCATCAATTGCATAGGACCTGCAAATCAAAGACGTTGGTTGTTTTCTTTCATTCAAATGATATAATTTCAAAATCTGTTTGCAAATTTTACTGCTTTTATTTCAAGTTTATTCTGCATAAATTGGCGCACTGTAAAAATACGTACTCATGCATCTAAATTTCTCTTCCAAACTTGCATTTTTTTTCTTTTGGTTCAAATCAATATCATTCAAAAATATGATTATTATGTTGTTTATTTTGTTTCTGAAATGTCTTGATCACCTCATGTGTTCTCATATGCTTTACCATCGGAGATGTGCACAAGTCGATACCCAAACCAAAAAATCATTCAAGTGTAACGAGCGAATTGGGGTATACATCGTTACAATGAGACAATGTATCTGAAAGAAATATGGCGGAATACGGCTATAGTTGGTATGAAACAAGTCGTACATAGATGAAAATGTTGCGTTTTTAAGAATTCATGTCAGCTTTAAAATCGGAAGAAATAAGTATAGGTGTAAAATAGAACTAATAGTGTTTAACCACTTTGTAATTAAAAATTGCTCATGTCAAATTTTTGTAATCACTTACAATGTATTAAAAAAGCGAACAAATAGAAGAAGATGCACGATAATACTTGAGACGGATTAGGAAACACGTTTGTCATGCGTCAGTGATTAAACGTATACAAACTACTCGTAGTGTGCGCTTTGTTCATATGGGGAAAGGTTACTTTTTACAGCTTGAAAAAATAAAATAAATCCGTGCAATCAAGTAAATAGATAATGCACTTTATAAAGTGTCTTGTATTGAGAGAGAGATAGATTCTTTTTTAAATTTATCAAAATATCACTTCAAAGAAATAAACGAACATTCATGGTAGACAGTATCTTCTTAGGTGATGTACAAAATGGCGATCTTAACTATAATAAATTATCTTGGGCTGCTTTTATCTTATATATATGTAACAGGCCTGAAGCAAGCAATTTCAGTTTGGTGGAGGGGAGGGGCACAACCAATCATTTTTTAGTTCAGAGTCGCTACCAAACAGTTCCTTGGGACGCCAAAATGAAACTAGAGGTACTGTGAGTAATGATCTTACTAAATAATACCCCTCCCCTCCCAAATGAATATAATGGCAGTATCCATGTTTTCCTCTGGAAAATCCAAAATATATGTCAGATCAAAAAGTAAAATAGGAGGTGCACAATGGCAATATGTAATAAAGATTCTCTGAAAGTTTCATCAAATTTCCTTCAGTGGTTTGAGAGGAGTTGCAGATAAGAGATGGGTACCCCAAAGCGTAACTGACGGACGGACGGACGTACAGACGGACGGAAATACCGATTACTATATACCCTCTCACTTTTGAAGCCGGGGGTATAATAATTTTTTATTGAGGGGACACAAGTATACAGTAGATAAGTTTTCTATAATATTACTTTATGTATTTATCGCCTTCATGAGGGGGGGGGGGGTTATCTCCAACCCCTCAACCCCGTTCCTATATACGACCGTGTGTACATGTATATCTTTTATATACGTGGATTATAAAAAATGGCTGACAATATGCATTTGAGTAGGGTGGTGCATTTTTCTCAGTAAAGTTCTTTTCTTTGTCTTAAATGTATGCTCCACTATGTCATTGTTTGTTAACCATGGATCAATCGTCAAAATATAAAATTAAAAGATACACTTTATACTTTTGACCACCGAAGGTCAAATATACATATAAAACTATTTTAACTTGCTTCATTTGTAAGGAGAAATATATATTCTCCATCCTGTTGTAAAACCAAAAAAAAATTGATTCTAGAATGTACCGACAAAAAGATATCGGGCTTTAAAAAGGGTGAATAATATGAAAACGTAGTTGTCACTTAGTTGTCATGGCATCCTTCGAAAGTATGTGCACACATATGCTTATCACAAGTGCTTGCAGACCAAACAACAACAACCCCCCCCCCCAATATTCATACCAGCTCCCAAGATATTCATATTTGTCTTTTTTCATAATTATCCGTCTAGTATATTTACAATGTATTTCATATAATACATAGAATTCACTTTTTAATAAAAAAAATCATGCCCGTAGTATCATAAAATCACCTCTAACTTTTTAACTGCAGGTATCAATTTTGTATGTTGTAAATTGTAAATGTTTTTCATGAAAGAAAGCCAAAAATATCTTTGGACCCGGATTTATATATATTCCAGGGATTAGGTGACGGAGGGGTGGGGATGAGGGGGTGGCATAGGTCCTATGATGGCATGCTAATATGAAATTTGCTCTCATATATCTTATTTTATGTCAAAAACACAATTCAATAAACTTCCATTTTTGTGCCGACCCCCCCCCCCCCAAAAAAAAAAAGTTGGGGATATTTGCTTCGGCCTGATGAATGAAACAAAAATATGCTTTGGGTCTTGGGTGTTAAGGGCGGGGGGGGGGGGTGGTCCTGTCCACTCGCACCCTTGAGAATTTTATGAAGATTTTTAAGATACATGTTTGTAAGAAGAAGCTTAATCAACCGACAAATAACGAACTGACATCCTCCCCCAACTTATAATATGGCTATAATACCTGTATATTAAAGCCATATAAATTTTATTTTTCGCAGCATATAGTATTTTGAACAAGAATTTCTTATAAATTACAATTAAATATGCTTTCTTGCTGTTTACAACGGCTAATGTTTAAAAAAAAAATCTCAACAAAATATGCAGAAAACAAAAGGGTTGAATTTGGTCAAATTCTAAAATATTTCCTTTTACCAAACATACCTTTTACATTTCGGGAAACAAGTTCATCTTTCATCTGTGATAGTTTAACTGAAATATAAAGATAAAATTCTTTTTCTATTAGTCTGCCAGATACTAAGAATATAGTCTTAAGCCTAAAAAACACAAACAAGAAGTTTTTCAAAAGAACGGATGCAATTAACGCATTTTTCTCATTTATTAAATGTGTCTAATCACGTCAATTATATATATTATGTAATTAAGGATTTTTGTCACTAAAGTAAAGTGAAAAATGCAAAACACTGTACTAAACTACACAAAAAAAATCTAGCTACACAGTCATAGGTTTTGAGAATCACCATGTCTAGCCTAGGAAATATTAAATAAAAATATTTGCAATATAGTTACAGAAACGTTTTCAGTTATTTCCTGATTTTTAAAAAAATAAATGACCAAATTTACCTTTTACTCCATCAATTATTTTTCTTGTTGCTGCATCTTCTTCAGCCTGTTTTCTCAGTTCCTCAATAAAACGAAGGTCACGGACAGGGTCCATTGTCTCAAGTCTCAAAAAGTCAACTTCCCTTTCGAACCGATTCCCATTGTTTAGAAAAGAATCGAAATCCACAACGGCTGATCTGACAGTGGACCAGATTGTGTTGAAATCAGCATTGGATAGAATGGGACTAGAAGAATGAACACACTGATTTCTGGCAATACGAATTCTCTCAATGTTGGCAGAGAGAGATCTGTCGGTCGGGTCTGGATCATTTCCCCAGCCGTTGCTGTGTGGTGGTATACTGCATATATTTCTAAGTAATGTGTACAGTAAAGGAATGTCCATTTCACTGTAGTTTCCAGTATAACTACTACCCCTGGGTAAAATAAGGTTCATCTGAGGTGCTGTCAGACGGGGAAGATTACTTATTTTCTGTTTAATAACGTATGGAAATGTAGACGGTGGTACATAATGACTTAAAACATCTCGTAGTTCATCAGTACATGGACCCAGAAGAAGTCGACAGGCTCTACATGCATTTGTGGTCTCCTCTGTTGAGGCGTAAGAGAAGGCTGCCATGTTTGTTTCTCTGAAATATAATCACAGAGAGAGCTTAAATATTTTATGTTGATTTTAAAGATATTCATGTTGTGTTTATTCACAACGAGAACGAAATTTAATGTCCATAGACACTGTTTTGTTTTCTTTGTACGAATATCTTTTTCCATAAACTTTCATATTATGCTACATTAATACGCTTTTTTTCACAGAGTTTTTAGATTTTTGTGACTCATTAAGTAATGTATATATTTCAATATTAAATGACGTAAAAGGAGGAAAACAATATTTATGCGGACATAGGGAAGTTGTTCAAATTCACCCGTAGTCCGTTGTACATAAGAACTTACGACTATGGCCAAAAATTCTACGTTATTGATTAATTAAAAAAAATTAATATTACTGGTTAGGATGGTTGGGTTTTGCAAATAGCACGAGAAGCTTGATGGCACAACTTGCTCAAAAAGGCGAACATAAAATGGCGCTCAAGTCAACATAATGACGTAACTGACATAAACACATAACATAATTGCACAAGTAAAAACAGGCAAAAAAACTATTTCCGTAAACCTCATTCATTTACAAGAATTAACATATTAACTGGTATTTGTTTCTAATTAGTTAACCACATTATAATCGCAGAATGAAACATTTTCACATATAATACACTGTAAAAACTGTGTTTAGAATCTAAACGCAAATCTAAACACATTTTTTGTATCACTTTTTTTACACGTTTAGGTCTAAACATGTCTCATTTCTAAACACGTTGGACTTCATGTGTTTAGTTGCTAAACATGTTTAACCCCTAAACACTTACATCTAAACACATTTTTTGTTTCACTTTTTTTACACGTTTAGCCCTAAACACGTCTCATTTCTAAACACATCAACATTTAAGTGTTAAGTTGCTAAACATGTTTAGTTCCACAACATTAGATCCAACGCAATAGTTTAATTTATAAACTATCGCAGAAAAACATATTTTTTAAAGAAATACATTATTAAATAAGTTTCCTATAAATACGTTAGCATATTTAAGAACTGGTGTTTACATGTTCGTACAAAAACCAAACTTTGAACTTGAAAAGTACCCATATTTCAGGAAAGAAACAGCTAACCATAACATTATTGAATATTCAAACTTGTATTTATTTTGAAGAATTTTTAATTCAATATACATATAGGTCTAAACATGTAATTTTTTTTGCTCGTTTCAATATTATTCAGCTCAGCAAGCATGCAATTATTCCTCATGTCTTTAACAAATTAAAGTTAATCAAGTTTATTAATTTCCTGCAAGTCTTTCACTGGAAACACACGATCATATGTTTTCGTCCAAGACTGCCAGGAAGGAATCCATTTCCATTATATGAATGTTTTGTGGCTGTTTAAAACTATACCAAACAATAGACTTCACAAAATTCAGTTTCCTCCAAAATGCAAGAAGTGCTGAAGATGTACCAACAATTGCGTGGACTTGGAAATGGACACAGCTACTCTGAGACGTGTATTTTTGCTTCGATCTAGACCATATCCTGTCAGAAAGAATGAAATTATATTAAAAATATGCCCTTGCTGACTGATAGCTAAACTAACTAATACTATGCAACTTTTATTGAAATTCATTTAACTATTATGTACATATACACATGTATCATACTGATATCGATATAGATATTTTCAATGACATTCTATATAGCTCCTTTCTAGCTTTCAGAATGCAAAAATTAAAGAAGGAAATCTTGATCTACAATTGTGTAATTGCATGTTTATTTACGTTTCTCATTCTAGTCAATTTATGTCAAAATAATAAAAGTAAGCAGACCTTTTATTGTGGTAATATTGCCTTTCACATGCTTCTCACAATCCCTTCCTAGTTATCACTTTGGTTATGATTCGCTTCCTTTAATCCATCTTCTTTGGCTTACACTGGAATTTCCTTTGTTTCGATAACCGCTCTATTAACGTTCAAATAATTACGCGTCATTTCCGGGAAGATAACTCTGTTTGTCACAGAAAGTGTTCAATTTCTAAACACTTAAATCTAAACATGTTTTAAATCTAAACACGTTTAGATATAATACATGCTTAGACGTAAGTGTTTAGCCGTTAAACACAATCTTAAACATGTTTAGGTCTAAACATGTAATGGAAGTGTTTATTTTCTAAACGCAGTTTTTACAGTGTACCAACTAGTAACTAGTCGGCCATTATCGTAACCACAAATAATAGCGAGCGTGATGCAATTGATATATTAAAACTACTTTCGATAACTGTCAGCTGTTGACTGCAAAGGAAGACGACATATTGCGCTTAGAAAGTAAGTTGGTCGACTAGTATTCAGTAATTCGCAAATTTTAAATAATATTTAGCATACTGTTTCTCCAGGGCAGAAAGAAATCATCAAATGCATCTTAGATTCATGTATGTTTTTAAATGTTGATTGCATGATTAAAACTTCAGATAGGGCGCGTGTGCTGCCATGCTGAATTGTTTGTTAACCATACGTTTTGACAAAAGATCTAGATCCCGCGAATCCTTTAATCGTGATTTATGGTATCAATAACATTTTCTATAATTAGTTTCATTAAATGGATTGATACAAGTTACTCTTTCCTTTATTTTTTTCTGTGAACAAAATTACTCATATAGGTCTAGATCCATGTCATCTCAAAACTGATGCTAGAAGTAGATGCGTGCCGCCAAACTCATAAATAAATTGTTAGTAAGCATGAGTTTTGGCAATGATTGAAACGAAATGTCTTAATTTCTTTTGTATTTGAACAAACATTATGAGTGAAAAGAATAGTAGCATTGTGTATATTTTACTGTGAAACATTTTGAACACCATATATAATACAAAAACTGCAAGGATTGGGTATATGTTTATATTGGTTTATGAATTGTCTTGGAATTGAACATGTAATAACTAAGAAAATTGAAATTACTTGAAGTTGAAGAAATTTATACAATGAGTTTACAACAACATTTTAACTGGCGATTGGATTTTCTTGGAGATTAACAATTTGAAAGATGTAAGATCTCTTGGAGTTAAACTAACATGTATGTACATGTATAAGAAATCGATACAACAAAAAATGCATTATGTTGAAATTACAGTATATTGGAAAAAGTATTTGAAATATACATGACAGGTGTTCCAGGTACTGTAGACCTGCAAATATGATCTAAAAACTTAAAAAAAAGGATATGGATATAACGAACAGTATTCAATCTCAAAGTCCATAAAACAATACAAAATAAAAGCAGAGGAAACACGGACCCCCGAAACATCAGAGGCCGGATCAGGTGCCATGGAGGAGTGAGCATCCCCTGCCGACCGGTCACACCCGCCGTGTGCTCCTTGTCATGATCAGGAAATAAAGAGAAAAATCCGTCGTCGATTCAATTCATGATCAGTGTACAAATAATGGACTTACAATTGGTATGAAAAACGTAAGTCAGCATTTGACTCAATGATAAATTGTATTTGCATTTAATGTGAGCTTACATGCAATGATATATTTGACTGCTTCTTGAAGATAATCAATACGTTTGCCTATTTGTGTTGCACATAAACATTGACAGTAACAAAAAGCGGGAATGTAATGATTTATTGTTTTAAAATACTTGTTAACTTTTATGATTTTTCTTTGATTACTGTGATTCTTATCTTGTAAATAAAAGTGTTTAAAACGTGCTTTGTTCTACTTTTCTTTTTAAAAATTCAGCAAGGTTAACAGGAACAATGGGAAAACTCTCTTAGCAAACACTGAATGCAAAGACGTGTTCATTTTTTTTTCTGAAACTAAACGAAAGGACAACAATAATTATGTTATAGAAGTAGACAGTAACACATGTTTGCTAAATCAATTATATACCAAAAAAGAAAAGCACCAATGCTTTGTTGTACATCGTGTAACAAAAAAGGGCAAACAGTCAGCATGTCTCCATTTACCATAGCTGGGAAGGATAAAAATGTAACATAATGAAAGTGGTGAAAGCTAAGTGACCGGGTGATAACAGCTACAGGGTCATGTGAATGAGGCACCGTTTAGTAACTACGAATAAAAGAAATAATAAATCCATGCAAATAAATTTATGACAATTTGTTTCCAATCACGTAAATTACATAGAAGAAACTCTTAATCAATTTGAATAATATTTCGATGTCAAGGAAAGTAACTCAAAATTAAAAATACATGCTGGAATTTCTTTGTTTTTTTTTTCTATAATTGAATTTTCAGCCAAAATATATACATATAATCGGAAGTCGGAATACAATAATGCATTTTATAAAAAAAAAAACTTCTAAGAAATAAATGGGTTTTAGAGAAATGGTTATGGGTATGGTTTATAATAATGGAGGTCCATTTTATTAGTATTTTATATAGAAAATGCCTTGAAAATTGTGAAACATATATTGAACAAAATCTAAAAAGGAAGGCTGGCTAGTGGCTTGAACAACCAGAATTAAACACGTTTGGTACCTTTAAGCCTGTTCAAAAGTTCATGAAAATTTCGTTTCTAAATCCAGGAACGTTGCCAATGTACTGAACAAAAATTGAAATAATATTTTAAATAATTACCCCTTATGCGCACATATTGTAGAGTTCTACATAATTTTACATATTGTTGTCTGAAAAATTATAATTTTTCTCCTGCTTTTCATAGATTTGAAATTTGTACTGTTCATCTTAAGTAATGCAGCAAAAATTTCTTTTGCGTTTCAGCATAATATTGGTATGTTAATAATATTAAACCTTTTGTTTATTCCAGCATGTCAAATCCTTCACATCATTCATTTTATATGTATACAAATAAATTTTTTCTTCGCTCTATCTTTATGCAAGAAAAACAATTCAAATAACATTTAATTTTACAATCTTTTGTCCAAAATAATAGCATTCCAGACAAAAAGACGCAGGTATTTTTAATTTAATCTCCAATAACACAAGTAGCTTAATCGTTATTCATTCTAGATTTCAATGAAACTTGTTGAGTAGCTTATAAACATG